AATATTTAATGATGAAGGTAAAATATAAAAATAATCTTTTTTTAACTTTATACGTAGGTATTTGTTTCTTTTAGATAGTTGCAGTATTTGGGATTGCAGGAGCATGCCGCAGGGATGAGTTACAGAAACTTACTTTAAATGATATAAATAACATGAATTCTATCATAACAGTAAAAATTCCCGACAGCAAGACCAACAAACCTCGATCATTTGTAATTAGATCCTTTAATTTTGTGGAAATGTATCGCAAATATGCATCCCTCCGTCCCCAATCAACAAGCCACAATAGATTTTTTATTAGATACTATGACGGAAAATGTCCCGTTCAACCTGTTGGTGTAAACACTTTTGGCAAAATCCCAAGTGATATTGCCAAATATTTAAATATTGAAAACCCAATGGAATACACGGGACACTGCTTTCGCAGATCTTCTGCAACCTTACTAGTAGAATCCGGCGCAGATATATTAACTTTGAAACGGCACGGAGGGTGGAAATCCTCAACTGTAGCTGAGGGCTACATTGAGGAGTCTATTTCTAAAAAAACAGAAATAGCTGCTCAAATTCTTGAAGGTCAACCAAGTACCAGCACCGGAAGCTTCACAATACGAAAAAGAGGTGTTTCAAATGAAGAGCCAGTCAAAAATGAAACCAAAATTCAAAAAATTCAAAATATTGCTGGAAATGAAGTTTTTCCGTCACTAAACATAGTAAACTTCAATAACTGCGACATTAAAATTGAAGTAAACTCAAAAAGTAAAATAAGAGATTTTTGTTGTACCTTTTGTAAAATATTCTAATAAAATTTGATATAAGAGTATATTTTATTTCGATCGTAGAAAAAATATTGTGTGCAACACGTGCAAAAAGCATATTTGTTGCACTCAGCATGATTGCAGCTTTCGACTTCGTCTCAAGCTGCAAACTTCATGCTTCGTGCAACAAAGATACACTTTTTGCACTAGTTACACAAATAACTATTGTCTCTACCTCGATTTTGTTAGTCATGGTATTCCAACACATCATATAAAATTTCATGAAAAAATGTCAAACGGTTTAAGAGCAACGTTAAAAAAATTCATTTAAATTTTTATCTTCTACTATTTTTGAGTGCACTTTTGTATATAGGTAAGTACGGTTTAATCGATCTATTTTTGACCCACGAATACGTGGTATAATTTATAACCAATCTTTTTGAAACACCCTGTATATATTTTTTAAATAAAGAACCTTGTAGTTTTCGACTATTTTCAAAAATGAAACCTACTGAAGACTTGATTGGGCCATCGTTAGGTTTCAATATACCTTGAAGAACCATACCAATTTAGAATTTAGTACAACATGAATAGCCTATACGTACCAACAAATAATGAAGGTTATTATTCTAGGATCCAACTGGTGTTATATCATTTTCGAAAATCTAGTTAATGATGTAGTCCAATCATTATAGTAAGTTCACCTCGGAATTCGAGATACCCAGCTGTAAGTCTGTAAATACTTGTATATTGACACCCTAAAAGTTGTCTCAAAACCTACATATAGTAGGGTGTACGCATCTATTAAATTTCAAGGTCAAAGGTCACAAAAATCGGTTTTTTGCGCTTTTTTTTGTAAATATCTCATTTCCTATGGGTTTTTTGCTATTTGTATTTATTATCAATATTGTAGAATACAAAATTCTCTAAAAATTTTGTTTAAAAAAATTTTTCATACGGTGAACCGTTTTCGAGATAGATGACAGAGAGCGCGCGGTCACAGCATCACTTCAGGTCAACCGGTGCCTCCGGTCGAAAAGGCGCCATATATAGTTGATGAAATATCGATAAATCAATGATTATAAATATTTGTCAATTTTTATTAACTATTATATTATATTTTATCAGGGGGGGATATCGCGCATGGTGTCATGGCGGCGCTGACGTCATGCGTAGAGTTAGTAGAGCTGGCGTGAAATAAATATCATATGACAGACGCATGTTGCAGTAGTTTGTGAGTCGTTTATAAGATACTAAGCAGATATTTGTATTATATTGTGTTGTAAACTTTATTCTCTGTGAGTGGTTTTAATAAAAAACATTGAAAAATTGCAGTACGGATGTAACAGTAACAATTAAAGGAAAGGATTCAAGAAAGATATTACGGTTTCTCGCTTTCCTCGACAGTAAGAGCTTAGTTAGAAGTAGCCCAAGGGCGGCTCCAGGGGAGCATGCCGTTCCCTAGATTAAAATTCTTAAAATCCATGAGCCTTTTATTAAAAAAAAAATATGCTAAATAGGCAATTCTACCATCCTTCCCAAGAAAATTCGGCATGGAGCAGCCCTTGCAGTAAAATTGTAAATGTTACCAAAAAAAAAAAAAATTTCGACTTGTACTTGATAAATGATTTAAAAAACTGTCAGCCACTAGGTCCAGGAAAAATGCAGCGACATATTATTTTAATTTTGTATTGTAACAGTTATTTGTATTTGGTACATTTTTTTATGTTTTGCATTATATTATATGAATGTCTGTATTATATGAAAAAAAAAAAAATTAACTTATTTTTATTCAATTGGGTAAAATAATGCAGGCAAATCCTAATCAGGTAAAAATTTCCGGCATATCCAGATGTGAAATTGTTACCAGAATCCCCAGTTTCGAGTTGCGAAGATACCCCTTATTTTACTATCCTGGTTATAAAAACTATTCTTTAGAAGTCGAATTTGTATAAACAAAATAAATCATTAAAAAAAAAAAGAAAAAACTGTTTAAAAAAATATTTCTTTTATGTATGTATTTGCATTTAAGTTCCTTCATAGTTCTTTCCTTAACTATCCCATAATAATATCCATAGATATTTCATATAATTTCTAAAATATTATCCTTAATATTCATCAAATTTCTATAAGTTAGCATATATTTTCCTCACACTTCGTTAGTATTTTTAAATTCGCGCCTATACAAACTCTACGCGTGACGCCATGCGCGTGGCCGTCCTATTTTTGACACTGTTGATATCCTACCTTTTATTTTTTATACCATGATATTTTATCATTTTTTTTCCTAACCTATCCACTTTTTATTTAGTATTAATTTATTTAACAACACTTACCTGCCCATGTAATTGCAAAATTGTTAATGAAAATATAGGAATTATATTTGAATTTTAACCTAATTAATATTAATAAATTCTTACATGATGAAAAAAAAAACAAATAAATTATGAATTAATCTTTTTATTAAAAAATTTCATTCAATACATTTATTTTTATTAAAAGTAAAAAAATGGAATAAAAGGTACAAAAACTACAATTTATAATTTTAATAAACTTCTTCCTCTTCATCGTCGTCTTCCGGCTGCTGGTAAATTTCAAACTGGTCTTCAACGACATTTCTCTCAAGTTCTTCCATGATTTCGGGGTCAAAGGTTCCATCTTCGTTAATGTCGCTCTGATATGGTAGAGCATTAAAACAAGCTTGCCCATTACATTGGCCACAAGCTAAAGAGCATTGCAAGCCCGCTTTCCTGCATCAGCATCGCGAACCACAACCACTCTTGCAGTTGCAGAAAATTGTATTTAGCAAATCTTCTGTAGCAGGTGGTAAAATTGTCATGATAGGCTCCAGAAAATCGTTTCGCATTGCCCAACTCCATACCTGGGGTTCCAAATCATGCCTTAACCAAGTTTGAACTTAATAATATACACGTTTGAAAGGTTGATGAGCAGCTGCTTTTGTTGGTGGAATATTTGAAAGCTGCACAGGTTAATTAAGTTTTGTAGACTTGACGTAATGCATATAACGAAGATGATCGAGACTTTTCACAGATTTCGGAGCATTATAGACTGCCAATAAGATTTGAGTTCCACTCTCTAATAATCTCTGGGCCGAACAATTTTCTTTCTCAAATGCTGCAGCTAGTTCATTCAAATTTGTCAGTTTCTCAAAAACTTTAAAAAATGATTTTTTCCCTTTTTAAAAAGCGCAGAAGTTGTGTCACAGCCACTTAATGCGTGCAGAAATAAAATATGTGTTTTGGAATGAGGATAATTATCAAAACTTTTAGTCAAGTATATCCCCGTTTTTACATTTCCTTTCCCAACTTTTTTAAAGAAAATGTCTTGTTCGTAAGACAGTGTACGCCCAATTAAAATGACAAGTAAATCAATATCTTGTCCTATTATAACTGCAGTTTTTTCAGAATTTGATTCTTCAATCGCATTTTCAACAATAAGAACATCAGCATTATCTCTGACTTGTTTAGTAGTAATATTTGCAGCTTGTAATTTTTCAATTAACATATTAATGAGCATATCTTTGTTATTTCGATTTGATAAGAATTTTTCTTGAGTAACTGGTACAACTATTGTTTCATCTTCTCTGCTGCTCCATAGCTTTTACGTTCTTACTGTAATCTGAATTTTTTTAAACAAAATTTGTAGAGAATTTTGTATTCTACAATATTGATAATAAATACAAATAGCAAAAAACCCATAAAAAATGAGATATTTACAAAAAAGCGCAAAAAACCGATTTTTGTGACATTTGACCTTGAAATTTAATAGTTGCGTACACCCTACCATATGTAGGTTTTGAAATAACTTTTAGCGTGTCAATATACAAGTATTTACAGACTTACAGCTGGGTATCTCCAGTTCCTAGATTCTTACCTAATTTAAGCTTAAATGATTGGACTATAGTAAAAAAGTACCTATACATTAGATAATATTTTAAATGATGTTCCTTCGCAATAAAAAAAAGTAAAAATAAAGATTTCTACTGCACGTTTTAACAATTAAAAGGTGTCTACCGCAGTATCTTCTTTGAACAAGTAGATTACCTACCGCAGATAGTAAAATACCTTTTGCTCCATTTTTAACATTTTCACACTCTCACACGTCTAGTGGGTCGCGTGCCAAAAAATCTTGGAAGGGGATCGGGTATCGTGCACTAGCCGCTACCACCGGACACCCAGCCTACTATCTCTTCTTCGAGAGCTTCTGTACAAGAAGTGGATGACAGTAATCGTAACAGTTCGACGCGGACCTTCTTTTCATCTTGATTGAACGATTAAAACGCATTTAGCCTCGTATCTTGTCGAGACAGTGACGTTCGACGAAATGTGCACTTGATGAATTGATCGGTTTCGAGGGTTTATTACACACCTTTTTCTACTACTTTGGATAATTTTAATAAGTACATCGATTTTTAGTAAATTAGGGTAAGTATTTTCGATATTACGAATGATATTTTTTTAATATTTTGGTTTGCGAAAGAAAATCACATAAAGGGTGAGTCAGCCAAAACGATACAAAGTTATTTAGTCTGTTTGATTTTTGCTAGCTCATGTATATTTTTGTATGAATTATCAAAGCAAAAAAATTAAACTATACTGGGTGTTTCAAGTTACAGTTTATAGGCAATAATAAAAAATAAATATCTCCTTTATTTGAAAAAATAAATCAAAAAATGCTTTCATTGACATTGAAATAAATATCTCCCTTATTTGAAAAGATAAATCAAAAACTGCTTTTATTGGCATTAAATTACCCTTCTAATGACGTTTTAAAACTTTATTTACTTGCACTCCTGATATGTTATCATCCAAAATTAATCGCCTGTTTATTTTGACATTATATCATACTTATAGGAGTTTTCATATTTTAATTTCTTCTCTAGCGTAAATACATTAAAATTACCTTGTAGTCGGGGTGTTTTCTAAGGGTTGTAAAAGTAAATGAAGTTTTGAAAAATGTGTTTGTAATACCAATGACAAAGTTTTTGATTTATTTTTTTTTAAATGAGCGAAATATTGACGTAAACGATCACTTGTTTATGATGGTCCTTCTTAAGAGAAAGCAGATGTTGATTGTTGGTGCGGGTTTTAAAGATTTAATAATAATAATAATAATAATTTATTCATCCAAAATATACATTACAGTTAAAACAAAATTAAAATACAATAAAAACTAATAAGTTTGGTATGAATAAGCTACTCGATAAGTGATAAATCACTTGTTTCAAGAAGAAAATAAAAGTTATTAAAATAATTAGTTTGTGACTAAAATAGTCACAACTTATTTTACTGGAACTATCAAGCAAAATTTACTATATTTTACACTCTAAAAGTAGGAGATTATAAGTACAATAATTATAAACATATACATAGACATATACACACTAAAATAGAATATAATAAAGTAAAACCAATTAAATAACAATAATAATAACAGACGTGCAGTGTAGGAAAAATTTAATTAAATTATTGACTTCATTGGAAAAATTAACAAAGCCGGACATCATCTACCTATATTTATTATCACATGAAAATTATACTCATATATCTTTATACAGCCTATAAGTATAAATTTACAATTTTACGGTAAGTATTTTTGATTCTATTAAATCATTTATTATTTTAAATGTAGATTTGTGAATAAGATTTTTAATGGAATCGGGCAATTGGTTGTACATTTTAGGTGCAAGGTAAGCAAAGGATCGTTGAGTAAGTGATTTACCAACCTGAGGAAGATGATGAAGATTTCTGTTCCGAGTATTATAATAATGGAATGGTAGATTAGGTTCTTTCGTGGTGAACTTGTATTTTTGAACCGAACAGTAAAAGTATAGTTGCCTAAGATCCAGAATTTTGCCTTCCGAATACAATAGGTTACTAGGATATCGAAACTCTCGCGAAAAAATTATTTTTAAAAATCTTTTTTGTATTGTTTCTAATGCTTTCAAGTGACACCTATAGTCCATGGTGCAATTTTGGTGGTTTTCCTATTTGATTTTCTGATTACTGTACTTTCTTCTATAACATTCGAGAGAATGGTAATGAGTTTATTTATTGCAAGTTCTGGATCCTCAGTATAAACATCATCCCAAAGTGCTAGTTTTGCCTTATATTGCAATTGTTTGTAGTTTATATGTTTTATAATTTTTTGGTGGCGGCTATGTTCACAGTTTACATTAATTATTTGTAAAATTGTAGTGTAATGATCGGTTATATCATTTTCTAATACCATTGGTATTATATTGTCTGTTTCATGCAAAGTTTTAATAAAGATGTGGTCCAAACACGACTTGCTATTATTTTGGACTCTCGTGGGAGAGTTGATTGTCGAAGTAAAGCCGTGTTCATGTAGTACATTAAGATAATCAAGTACCATCTGGGTATCAACCAGTAAATTAATATTAATGTCTCCACAGAATATGTGGTATATTTCATTTTTACTCTTTAGTGCATCAAAATATTCTTGAAGAGACAATATGAATTCGCCGGTATCAGATCCAGATGGTCTGTAGCATGCTGTAATAGCAATATATTTATGTGCCACTTTAATTCTAATTAGTATAAAACTATAGTTATTTATGGTAATAATTTTATATGTATTTGGGTGATATAAGAAAACCTTCTGTGGACCGAATTAAAATTGAAGTGACTACACTGTTTAAAACTGCATATACAAGAGTCAGTGGGAAAAAGAGGTTCAAATACATGTTTCTTAATTTTACAAGATTATTTTTTATTTATATTAGTAATAATATGTTACTAAAATAATGTTTTATGATAACAACTTTTTTAACAATTATTGTAAATTAAACACAAAAATAATAGAAAACCATTTATTTTAGCTCTATACTAAATTTAGTGCGGATTGAATAGGTACCCTTCCCTTTTACCGGGTGTTCCATTAAGAAGCTAATAATAGTACAATCGCTTCAAAGCAAATAGATAAAACAAATAACTTGACAATAACTCGTTTTATCCAGATAGAATTGTCTTCCTTTTTTCTTCCGGAAGCCGTTCCAACAGAAAAATGTTTATTGCTGTTATCCGATGCTGCCCCGTACATGGTAAAAGCTGCACAAAATTTAAAAATGTTTTATGAAAACTTAATCCATGTTACATGTTTGGCTCATGGCCTTAACAGAGTTGCAGAAGAAATTAAGTCTAACTTTCCTTTAATAAATGATTTAATTAGTAATATAAAAAAAATATTTCTTAAAGCTCCTCTAAGAACTCAATTGTACAAATAAAAATTTCCTGAATTACAGATGCCACCGGAACGTGTAATTACTCGGTGGGGTACCTGGCTAAAAGCTGCCTTTTTTTACGCAGATAATTATGAAAAAATTAAAGAAATCATATTTGATTTTGATGATTCATCTAAGGGAATATCTAATAAAAAGAAGTTGTTTCAAAATCACATATTACCGAAGCAATTAGTGTTTTTAAAAAATTATGCATTGGTACCCAAAATTATATTAGATTTAGAACAAAAAAAATTACCTTTGGTGACTTCCGTAAATTTAATTAAGACGTTTGAATCAGAGTGTAAAAATGTCCAGGGCGATATTGGAAAGACGATTTTTAATAAATTTTCAAATGTAATTTTAAAAAAATGAAGGATATATTGTTTTAAGAAACCTTACTAATATTTATTCTCTTAACTTTGAAGATATTAATACTATTCATCCAGATATTTCAGGAAAATTTAAGTTTGCACATATTACTTCTGTAGATGTCGAAAGGAGTTTTCTTTGTACAAGTACATACTTACTGATAGGAGACAATCATTTAATATAGGTAATTTAGAAAAACATCTAATTGTTCATTCGTTTTATAATAATGTTGATTTGTAAATAAAGTTAGTTAATAAATAAATAATTATTAAGTATTATAAGTATTATGTTATATTAGGTATTGTAAAATAAAACAAATAATAAATATTAATAAACTATTTTGATCAAATAAAAATTAATCTTATTGCATATGCTCTGCATATTTTTCAATTTTTTACGCATATATTGAAGTATTTTGCGGCATATATATGCGCATATTTAACCACTTTTTGGGTGCATATATTCCTAGGTCTACTTATAAGTATAATAATCCATTGAGCATGTACATTTGCATATCAAGTAAGCTTTGAAAAACACAAACAAAAGACCTAATACTCAATGCCGTCCCAAATGTTCAAACTGCCTTCCATAATTTTGAACACATAGTTCCAACCTTTCCATGGTTGACAAAACAGCTCTTTCCACTTTCCTTGGTGCTGCACCTCCTGCATCCAACGGGGATTACTGGCTGCCCAATAATGCATATTGTGCATATTGATTCCACCGTCACTAGGAAAGGTTGCTTCGTCCGTCCACAAAATTCGGGTTAAAAGCTTTCTGTCTTCCGCTATCATATTTATCAACCAATGACAGTAGTCTAACTTCCTGTCATAGTCTGCGACGGTCAAAGTGAATTTAAGTGAGGTACGTCATTATTTATTTATGCTCAGTAGCTATTTCAAATGTTCATGTTTCTAACTTAAAACAAAGATTTTCATACAAAATTCCCCCCTTATTTCCTCGCCTTATATATAAAGCATTTAGAACTCTACATCTGTGGTGGTTTATTTAATTATTTTTCTGTCAAAATACCTCATTCGAAAACTAATATAATACCAAATTAAATATCTTTTACATTTTAAAAATAATACGCAATAAAACGATATTTTTAAATTATAGTTGTAAAAAAAACAATTTATCTTCATTTTCTCGGTATATATTTTTTGAATCATGCTGTATAGGGTTAATTAACTATAAATATGTTACAATAGTTTAAAGTATATTATTAAAAAGAGGTAAAAAATGTATTGACAGTAGCTACAAGATTTTGACTCACCCTATAAGTTTTATTTTTTTTCTAAAATTTCAGTAAAGCTTATTTTGGCTAGAGGTGGTCATTTCCAACATTTATTATGAATCGTATTACATTTTACATCTTCACTGTTTTCCACACAATTTATTACAAAAATTATAAATTACGGTGTTAATTTTTTTCTCTGCAGCTATTTGTTTTGGGAAAAAAAATTAAGAATAATTTTTTTTTAAATAAAACAAGGATTTCAAGTTATAATTTTATTTCATAAAACTTTATCTCGAAAAAAGTTTTGATATGAAATAAAGTAAGGGTTGTTAATTTCACCCCCCTATAATTTACTGAAATTTTAGAAAAAAAACTCAATTTTAGTCACCATCTTTTAAGGGTGATATCTCGGAAGAGGGTGTGCTGAGGAAATTTTGTTATAGGAAAGACCCATTTTAATTTCATACGAGCAATCACCTCCTGAATTTTGTTGCATGAATTTAGAAACACCCTGTATGTGTTATTGGATAACATTTTGGTATTGTTGGATAGGTAAATTTATAAGGAATTTT